ACTGGTGGAAGCACTTCCGGATTATTTTCGACACTAATTGAAGACTGCTCTTCAAATCATCAAACTCTGTGCCTTTTCTCAAACTTTGGCATAGCTTCAACAATGAAAGAAATATTTATGGTGGCTTAAAATACAGAAAAATTATTTGGCCCTCTTGGACTGTTGATCCGTTAGAGTCAGCCATCTCCTCTGCTGGAACATTCGAGAACGTAACTGTCAGGTGAGGATTACAAAATCTGATTGCAGAGCCGTCAAAGCTTCTTGCCAATTCAGACATATTGGCTTCGGCCTCGACCAGGGAAGCTGCAATGTACTGCTGGCCGGCGGTCAGAAGTATCGGTTGGTCGAAATAAACGGGGTAGTCGGGTATTCCGTGACGAAAAGTATGCTGCGTAGTTTTAGAGGCGATGGCAACACCCGAGATGTTGCTGACTTTGATGGTCAAAGTTACAGGAATGCCTTGTTGTGCGGTGGAACCAACAGCAATTCCCAAGAGTTTGTGGTTCGCGCTTAGCGAAAAAGCGATCTTGTCGAATTTGCCGGTGTTTGGCGAGTAAGGTGGGTCGAAAGAGAACGTGGGAAGCCTTAGACAGAAGAATGATCCTGCCAAAAAAAAAACTTAGATAAAAAACAAAGAAGCAAACAGTTAAAATTTCAAAACTTGGGCAATTTATTATTAACGATGCAGCATGTAATTTTCGGCAGTGAATCGCGAACCCCGAAGCTCTCTTGCGAAACAGTAAACCCGCCAGGAGGTAAGGTGACCGCAGTATTGTCACTTCATTTGAAGGTGAATCAAGGGATACAGTAGTAGTGAATGTATTGCTAATTTGGTGTGTTAAGTGAAAAGAAAGCTGCGTCACTAACATGATAAAGGTAACAGGTAAAGTCTGCATTTCTCCTGATTTCTGTAGCGTGAAGCGACTTGGAATATTTCTACTCCCCCTGAATCAGATGCTAGTCCATCTCAGGGTTACCTCCAGTATTAAATTCGCTGGTACTCCTTTTGACACCTGAGTGGAGAGGGATACTGTGAGAGTAAAGCGTCTCATCTTGTCAAGAACACAGCGCAATGTCCCCGGCCAGAGCTTCAACCGAGACCGCTCTATCCGGGGTCGAGCGCACTAATCATGAGGCCACCACGCCTCCAGTAACATAACTTACCTAACTGACAGTTTGAACCAGAATAAAAAAACGTGCAGCTACAGGTGTATCCTCCTCCAGATAAAGGGATACAGGTTCCACCGTTCAAACATGGATTACTGGTCACACAGGATAAATCTTGAAGAAAAACAACAAAAAAATAGATTGTCAAAAGTTTCGTAGATAGAGTCGTGGAGCAGCACTGGGCAAAAACGCTGCTGTCGAAAGGAACCGTCGACTTGCACTTACGTGCCTCTAATTCAAAATTAAGAGCGACAGCAACTACAGGCTTCTAACTTTTTTTAGCTCTAATAAAGGGGTGGAGAATAAACCGAAATCTCGGAAAGATGAAGGCAGATTCAAAAACGATTTCTTGGAATGTGATTTGCAAAGCAATTCTTAGAAGATTGCAGTCCAAAATATTTGGTATTGGCTTCTTTGCAACTGCCCTCCGAGCTTGCTGGTCAGTTTTTCAGTATCTAGTGAATATTAATAGATATAGCTTCCTACAGAGGTGATACTCACCACTGCTTTATTAACCTTGAAGAATACTTACTCACCAAACTCACAGTGTACACCTGCGTTTCCAGAATAACAGCTGCATGTGTACTGATTCACGCCGTCCACACAATCTCCATTGACACACGCGTTACTTACACAATCGTCAATATCTTGTTGAAAAAAGAACCAAGATCTTGTACTTAATTTGTGCAAGGCAGTTCGTAATATTGGCTGCCTCAGGTCACTTACTGCCAGTCAGGTTATGAAAAAAGGGAGTAACTTTAGCTAGGTTTAGAGAAAACGTAATTTGGTCAAATAACAAGTACTTTTTGAACCGCAACATAAGCAGACAGCAAATTACCTCCACCCAGTATTTTTACTCTAACATCAGTTTCTCTATAGATAACTATTATTTGCCTAGTAGCTACACCTTATTCGATTATTCAACGCGCGGATATTTTACAAGCAATGAGCAAAGTGTCCTCGCGTATCATATGTTAAAGCCATCCAATAAGGAGTTTATTAATCCACTGCTGTCATTTTTAGTTTTTCGGCTTCTAATATGTGAATTACATCCCGCATCATCCTAAAATCGTACTCATCGCGTGAGGCGCGAGCGAATAACAGAAAAACATATACGACTCTGCAATGTAATACGAGCTCATGACCTAATATGGTAACGTGGCGTATCAGTGTAATAATAAGTTCATTTATAACTTACTTGTTTCGCACTGGAGTCCGGTGAATCCAGGTATACAATTACATGTGAATTTGTTCACTCCATTCACACATACACCTCCATTGCTGCATGGGTTGCTTTCGCATTCATCAAGATCTGTCAAACATGAATAGCAGCTGTCAGTAATCTTATTTATATCCCAGTCCGATTGTAACTTGCAAAGGCGATAATTCCCAAGATGGGAATGATATCCCGCTAATTAAAGAAGGCGTGGCATTCACCGTTGCCGTAGATAAGGTAAACCAATTAAATTTACTGTCAGCCTAAAGAATATTTTGGTAAATGTAGAATGGAGCTAAAACGGCAACAGAGCCTGATATATTATTTGGATTTATTACTTAAAGTTTTGGGGTGGAAGGGGTGATGATACTTAACTGGGGAGCTGTGGGCCCGCTCACAGATCGTAAGGCTTTCTGGGCAATATGCTAGTGCTACATTGCTTAATTGCCTCTTGTGCACCCCGGATAGCCCGGTCTCGGAACTGGTAACCAAACGGAGCTCCAGCAAAAAGCTGGAGGGAGTAACCACCCCTTCAATGGTTTTCAGTAGTTACGGAAACGAATACTATAAATTACACCTTGCCTCGACAACAAATAGAGGAGGAGGAGGGCGAGTTAAGGGGGAGGCAGAATTTTCTACAAACAAAGGCAAAAGGGCACAAAATTTCTCCTAGAGTTACGACGCAAAGCAAAGCAGATGGATGATTAACAGATTGGAACTTTAAAATTTTGTCAAACTGAGATACAGTCACGGCCCGCCTATGGTTTATTTACCAATGAGGTGTGCGCATGAGCGGGCAAGTTGTGTGAGCTAAGAAGTAACCGAAACCACTCTCCGTCTTAGCGTTTATAACAAGATGTCCGTATTAGAGATGTGCCCATAAAGCGGGGCTCAGCTGTACAGGCAAATTCTCACCAGTTTTTATTCCCCTTAGCGATAAAATAAGGTCTAAAAAGGTAAATAGCTTGTCTTACCAAGTTCACAGTTGACGCCTGCATTTCCCGGATGACAGTTGCAAACGTACTGATTTATACCATCGATGTAATTTCCATTGACACATGGACTGCTTGCGCACTCATCAATGTCTCGTTACCCAAAACAGGAGAATGTTCCTAGACAGCTTTTTTTTTTGTTGTGCTACATTCTAGCAGCACTGTAACGGGAATTGCTGATTTTTGGTCAAGACCGTTCCCAAATTATGCTGTTACTATGGGCACCCAGATAAAAGGATATTAGGGGAATTATCGAAGGGAGTGTGTAGGTTTGATTTACCATGGAGCAAGGGCACAGTATTTGGAATAGGTCTGAAATACTTACTGGTGAATTTCGAGTAAATGATTAGAATTTTATGGGAACTCCGCTTTTAGACTTGGCTAAACCTATATTTTAGGTACAATAAGAGGATTTTAGTCTTAAGTGTCCGTACACTTACGCTCGTCACTTTTATTTTGCCTCGACCTACGTGGTCACCATGTTAATTGATACGTCAAGACTACCTAATGGGTCGAAAAATTCTAACTGACATCAGATGAAATAAAATTATTCCGTCAACTAAACTATATGGAAAAGATAACTTACCTATGCCACAAAGGGTTCCAGTAAATCCGGGGGGACAGGTGCAGTTGAACCTGTTCACTTGATCCACACAGGTAGCTCCATTGATGCAGGGGTTGCTGGCACATTCATCAATATCTGTAAGACGTGATTGAAACCTGTCACTCAAACTACATTCCTCACATGGTCTATGCTGTAATCCTCCGTCGGAATGAGGCCCAGGGACCGAAACAGCTTACACTGACCACTAAAAGTCCGAAATTTTTTTTATTTTGGGGGAGAGGAAGAGCAGACACAGGATGAAAGCCCTTCTACAACACATCATGATGTGTCATTATCCACTGGTGGACCCTCACGGACTGTGATTTAAGAGTAGTATTACCAAACTCTCTATAATGTTATGAAAGCTCAGATAGTTTGATCAAATTCTTATAAATATCTTATATATATAATATCCCGTTAAATGTAATTTAGACACTTTGTTAGTACTTAAGGTGGCTCCATAGGGTAGTCATTTATTACGTTGCGCGCGCAAGTGTTATGTTTTGAATGCTGTTTTTGTATTCTTGTTTACACCCAGTCCTCTCAAACTTACTAAATGTAATAAGCAATAAGCTCTCTTCAAATCTTGGCTTTTAATGTTGATTTATAAATGCCCAAACAAATGCGTTGTTTACCGCTTTTATGGTTTTATTTGTGATTTTCTTGAATTTCTTTCGGTGAAATTTTCGAAAATTTTTTTACAGTACATTGAATACGGCGGGATACAAATTTAAAACACGAAAAAAGTAGGGTTTGTAGTGGCAGTTTTAAGATTTTTGCAAATTTATTTCTTTTACCGCTGCAGAAAAACTGGTCAGATAGATTTAGCTGAAAAACGAGGTCCAACTAAAGTAAAATATAGGAAACGCGAGAAAATTCACTATCAGTTTTGCTTTTTTGTGTTGACGTCATAAAATATCGAAAGACACTGACGTTTTCCTTTGAGCGCGCGCAGATTACTTGAGCTTTCGTCCTAAACGCGCGTGCGATCGTAAAACT